ATATCTCACTAAGATAATTAAAAAATACATTTATATAATTAAGGTTTTCATCCTTTCAATACATGGTAAAAAGTTTCCATAGATGAATAATTAATATATGGAATGATTATGGTCTGAAAAATGATAAAAACTAGTGATACTTTAAAATTCTTGCTAATTACAGAAAATAGAGAGTATGGCTGTAGTTGTAGGACTTACTAAACAACAGAATATAAAATGATGAGATAATTGAGAATTTTTCTTTTTTTCTATTTAGTTTACAGAAATGATTACTATATTTGATAATACAATATTGATTACTAGCATTAATACAAATTAAGTTAATTAACTTATTTAGAACATGAGATAAATCAGCACTTCTATCTGTGTCAGCAATTGAATTCAAACAATATTAAAAATCATATTGAATGGCATTTTATAGCAATATGGGTAGTATTAGTGGCAGATATAACAACTTTTAGTAACAGTCAAGGCAATAGTATGTGAATTATTTTATGTGAATTAGTAACAGGTATTAATAGTAATCATGGTAATATATTAGATAACAGCAACAGTTAGTAATAATCAATATAATATCAGGCTAATATTAGAAGCAGTTATAACAACAATTATTATTCAGCAACACAATTTTTGACTAAGAGAAAACTTTTCAGTCAACAAACAACAAATTCTTGTTAATGAATATCCTCAAATGATAATTTATTCTGAATTTTAACTTTCTTAACTTCATTTTATTAAAAAATTTATGTTAACAACAAAGTAAAATGATTATCATTTAAAAATACTGGGAACTGTCAATTATCTTGAAGACATATCCTGTTCTTAATATTAATTGTTTTTATACTGTTCTTAATTGACACTAGAGGAAATTGGATAACAGAAATTTATATACTTTTTTCCCCACTTTGTAATCTCAAAATTATGAGTTAGAAAAAAAAATCTAAAAGCATTAATTATTTATTTTTTAATTTAAAATATTGATAATTTATTCAATGGGACAACTCAAATGTCATTAATTTTATTAAGGTTGTTCTGTTGTAAGTTGTTAGTAGAAGGCAAGACTGTCATATTTTAAAGTTCTAAATATTGAAGTGAAATTGTAGTGTTTCACTTCATGCCTTAAAATAAAATAAAGTCTGCTATTTTTTAAATATTAATCTTTTGTATTTATTTCAAATTTAATTCAAAATTTCCAGTAACAAAATATAGATCTGATCTTTATGATTATTCTGTTNCTAAATAAACTGTGCATGAACTTATTTACTTAGTGAAATTAATAAAGGTTTTGCCTTCTTATCAGAAATAAAAATATTTAAATAAATTATTAATTAAAATATAAATTAAACATATAAACTGGATATGTATGTCTCAATTAGTGTATGTTACAAAATAATATAAAGTTATATTTCATATAATAAATTCTTGGCATATATTCCATTTAACAAAAGCAAACTTTTCAATTCTTTTGATCCTAATTAATTTACTTAAAAAAATAGCTTCAATATTAAATTTACAATTCTAAATGTGAATTAACAGAAATGCATTTGTCGTTAAAAATAACTAAAGTAAAATTTTGAGATATTTTTATATATGTGAGAAATTCTGCAAAATTAATTTGCTGAATTATCAGAATTTAGAATTGTTAACTTAATAAATAAGCAATTTTATTAAGTAAATTAATTAGGATAGAAAGAATTGAAAAGTTTGCTTTTGTTAAGTGGGATATTTATCAAGACTTTACTTTGTTTGTCAACAAGTAGCCTCTTTGAAAGGAAGCTCTGATATAAAGGGATAGGACTATTAAATTATTTACGAAGTTTACAATATTCAATTTGGCAGAATTAAATGCTTCTAAACAATTTCAATATTTGACAAGACTTTTGTTTTAATGCAAAGAATTCAATAACTAAATCATTACATTAATTTTAATTATTTAAAATTTGCACATATAAAAAATAAACTCTAACTTTCCTAATAAAATCCAAAGTTTCTTTACTGGGTTTTAATTAAAAATTGGACAGATATACATATGTCAATATGTTAAATATATAAGTATAAATTCATCAATGTAAACTTTAACGAAACAAACTAAAATTAAAAAGTTTTAATTCGTCTCATTAAAGTTTACATTTTTTGGATTCATTAAACTAGAGAAAATTTTCTTTCAAGTCTTGTCATATCTATCAGTATTCACTAACTATTTGTCAAATATGTATTCTGAATTCAAGTGTATTCAAGCTTTTAGTCTAATCTAATCTAGTCTAAACAAATTTAGTTTGAATAAATATAATAGAAATTTCAAAATCACTCCCTTTACAGAGCAACTAATGGACACAAATTAAGTTCTGGCAATATGTGATACAAGAGTCAAATCTCCCTCCAACATTTCAATTTTGCTTAAGATAGACAGGCAAGAAATCGAGTCCCGTGTATAGTAACCCTTTGTTTGTATCATTTCCCTATTCACAAATGCAATAAATAAAATATATCATAAATCATAAAAATTTCAATATTTGAGATANCAAGAGTCAAATCTCCCTCCAACATTTCAATTTTGCTTAAGATAGACAGGCAAGAAATCGAGTCCCGTGTATAGTAACCCTTTGTTTGTATCATTTCCCTATTCACAAATGCAATAAATAAAATATATCATAAATCATAAAAATTTCAATATTTGAGATATCAAATATAAATGTACAAAGTTGTTTTTAACGATTAAAAACTGTTACGTGGCAAACTTTTTCACACACAAAAAGTTTATCGTATTCCTCTACAGAACCATCTTTGACTTAAACAATACTACAGAGATCAGACGAACTAGTAGCAAGATACCTCTATTATCACGAGAAATTCAAATTTGAATCCAATGAAAGTTTTTGAACTTTGACGAATAGTTTATATTACAGCTCTCTGTGCCATTTAACAATATAGAAGATTAGGCCAACCAATTACAGGTGAAAACTAAGGATAACATGAATCCAACCAACTTCTTATTAAAGCCATATACAAATTGATATGAAAATCATAAGAAAAATCTTCAATTTTGATATTAATATATTTGTAATTAATTCCTAAGTTTAATTATTTTTAAAATATAGATAAAGATTTAGAAAAGCATTCCCTAAAGAATTATTATTTTATATATTTAAAAAACTTATCTGATTAAAATAAATAAAAATTTTCTGTCAAACTTCAGCAGTTTTCTTCTATGATTCATTATTTAAATCATAGAAGGAAAATATTAATTAAAAACCAAATTCACAAAGAACATATTACAGAATCTTCCATCCCAGACCTCCAAAACTGTCAATTTTGAAAGAAAGGAAGGAAAAAAAAACAATTTTTGTTCCTAACGCCAAAGAACCCAAAAACAAATTCGTCACGCGATTCTACAGTTCATATTAATACCTAAAGCGATTTATTTTTCTATATAAAACCGAATTTAAATAATCAATATGCAAATTATAAATCATAGATTCATCAATGTAAGCTTTAATGAGACGAATTGAAACTTTTTAAATATTTATTGCATTTATTAAACTAAAGGAAATTTTCGTTCAGTCTTCTTGTATCTATCATACTATTTATTAATTATTTATTCATCCGGGATCAAACATATTTCAAGATAGAGAAATGTGAGCTATGACTCAAAATATACGGTTTTGGATCAAAAAAATTCTAAGCTGGAATATAATAATTTGGCATTTTTGGTATCGACTTTGTAAAAAGTTGCATCTTTACAATTCGCTAACTCGTAGAACCATTAATAGAGTTTTTGTATTTTTATCATTTTTTTAAATAATATTAAATTCAAAAGTGTGTAATTTTAATAAATTGGAAAATTCGAGTCAAATTCTAAGTTTTCTATAAAAAAATCCACTTAAAAAACTGTTTATTAAACCGATTAAAACATCAATCAACCCGAAGCCAACGATATAAAATATGGCATCGACGATTGATTCGAAAACGTCTGAGAAGCGAAATAAGTCTAGTCACATAGGCGAACCAGACATTTTGATCACCAAAAAACTTTACTTTTATATATTTTATTTTTTCGTCTCCAAGGAATCTTACAGTCATTTCACACGCGCCTCTCACCTCCAATCTATTTTGCGGCAAGAAACCCTAATTTTTCATCATTTAAATCTTTATTTTTGTTAACTCTAACTTAATAAATGTTTTATTCATTTTATTAACGAATTCTACGTTTTATTTACTCCTTATTTAATCGTGTAATAATCTGTTCGCATTTGATTTATTCGTGTATCAATCGTTAAATGGCGTTAAAAGTCGACACTTTATCATTGAGTAAATAGCCTACATCCGACAAATAGGTTGGAGGTTCGCTATGGTGTTCCTCCTATATACATTTATATTGATAAACTTTTCAATTATTTAAATATTCTTTCAATAAACTTATCGTTTGTTTGTTCAGTTTTCTTTCATCGGAGTGATTATTTGTTCAAATAAAAAAATCAAGCAGACCTCTAAACGCCTAAAAATATATAACACATAATTGAATACTTAAGGCCAGCAATCCTAAGCAAATAAACGCGAATTTCTATGATTAAAAAACTAGTAAAAAATGTTTTTAAGTAAATTAAGTTAAAATTTTCGATTTTCACTAAAAAAAAGTGATTTTGAAATAAAAAATCGTATTAAAATCTATGTACAGTATAAGACGCTTTCTAGACCGAAAACTCTTAAAGTTTAACAATAAAATGACTAAATCACAGAAAATGTGGATTTAAGTTTCTTAAATGTAGGACTAAAGTCCTTACGATTTCGCAAAAACCTTCGCGAGTCAATTTTTTGGCAAAAAATTCCTGAATGTAGAACAGAAAAATCGGTATTAAATTACAAAGATGTCTAAAAACATGAAGGAAGAAACATTCGTAACAGTAAAGAGGAGAATTTGATCCGTTAAGCGAAGCCCTAACTTGGCTATTTACAGAATAGACTTATTACAAAGAAAAAATGACGATAAAGATTCCACTTACCTTTACATCCTTCGCACGTCAAAGCATTGTAATGATACCCCGATGCTCTGTCCCCACAAACTAAACATAATTCTTCTTGCTGCCTCGGTGTTGGACCTTTTTTCTTCTTTGCTTCAAAACTATCCACTCCATAACATCCATTTATACCGCTACTGGGAGGACTCATATCTTCCTTACCTAAAATCAATGAGACAAACACATAAAACTCCCACACAAATATACGAAAAAATTATATAAAAAATATATAATTTACCCCAGATAGTCATGTTTTTAGGTTTTTATAGTTCGTTTTTTAGCTTTAGAAGCGAGAGAAGTTTGAATAGGTTTTGAAATACTCCTAAGCCATCTGGTTATGTCTGGACTAATGGCTGCTGCTTGGTCAGATACTTTTACCTGCTTAATTATGTCACATGTGGGTACAACAGTATTTCAAACGTAACCGACATAGGATTAAGATCTGGCTTTCTAGGACACTGTCCTAGAAACCAGTAGAACACCAACAAAGGAAATTATTACGGGACTTTTGTTTGCTGTAAGAGGTTTCGGTTAGTGCTACTAGAAAAACTGTGAGAACTCGACTAAAAATAATCTTAATAATTCCCCCTTTATGACTCATCTAGAGTTGTAGTTTTTTTTTTCTAAAAGCATCCATTTGTAATTTTAGCTTTAAAATTACGTAAGAATTTTCAAGCGTAAGATATAATTATACTTTAAAAATATACATTAAAAAAGGCGCGGTTTTCACGTGTTCAGTGCATTGTATTTATTGTTAATTCTTGAAAATACATGGGAAAAGTTGGAAGATTTGTCTAACCACTGGCAACAGTAGTCAATAACCTTATTGCGAAAAAGATTCTACGAAAGTTAACTGAGACAAGTACAAAACTTCAACCATGCAAACAGAATTACTTGGCCCGAGGGTGAAATGCCTTTCAAACAGCGAGTCCTGCAATTTGCACAACTGGTCATGCAACAGGTTTGTGTGTAGGGTATATTAGGGTGGGGTGATGATTGGATAGGCTATGCCCATGTTACGAAATAGGGGTGAGGGCTACTCGGATACATTCGGATATAAACAATCCGAAAAGCTATTAATTAACAAATAAAATAAAATAAATTAGTAAACAAGTGCCCAACGCTCACTAAATATTTACTTTTGTCGGTTTACGAGTCGTTATATATATATATATATATAAATGATTAATTAATTCAGATGAGGATTATATATAAATTACGCCCCGCACTTATAAGTGAAAACGTAGCAATGGGGAGATGTTTTGTTTAATAGAGAAGGGAGGGGAATGAATTATGTGACGCAGACAAGTCAAGGGCAAAACACGATAGACACATACACACACCACACAACTGTCAACGAATTGATGGGTGGTATTTTCGAATTTGTAATTCTGTACGCAAACTATACGAAGAAAGTGTTTTTATTTCGCTCCGATAATGTAGATTTTTATCGCGCATTAATTAAATTGCACGTAGCGAAGCGAACGTTCTTGAAAAATAAATTGTTTTTACATCCGCTTTCATTTTATTTTTTAAAAGGCCAAAATTATTTCTGTTTTAAATAAATAAAACCAATGTTAATGCAATTTAAAATATTACATCTTTTCTTCGAAGATGGAAGCTACGTTAAATAAATTATTAATTACATTAATTGTTATTTAACAATTTAATCGATATATTTTATGTTTTATGTAAAAAATAATTGTTAAAATGATACATTCCAAGTTAATTAAAGATCGTTTAAATTAATCGTTTATGTGTTGAATGTGATTTAATCGATTAAGGACATTTTCTAACGCAACGAGCGCCACTTCACTTTTATTACACATACACACATACACTCAAAATGAACCTAACACGGCGTGAAATATAGGTCACAAGGCCAAACATACGAAAAAATACATTTTTGAATGAATCGATTTATTCTCTCTTTCTTCGCTCTCTTCGCTTCGATCGTAACAAAATTTAGTTATTTTTTAATAATTTTGTGACCAAATCAATCCTTTTTATTATATGTAACGTTAGTAAAATTTTTGGTTAAATTACATCCACCGGATTTTAACTTTAAAATAATAAAATAATTCGGTCACTGACGCGTGCGTGTTATGTTATACGTTACATCCTGTTTCGTAAATATCCCCGATATTGTGTAAATTAGAATACATAATCGATTATTTAAAATTAATTTTTTAAGCATTTCGCCATTATAACGCTGCCATAAATTACCATTAATATAGAATCTATCACAGTTATGGAGAGAAATAAAATCAAGTCTTTTCTTAGAACTATAAATATATACTGTGTATATATATAATAGGTACTTCAATCATAAACGATTTGTTTCATAGAAATGAAAAAAGAATGTATTCGTTATCCTATAAATCAATATAACTGGAAAAATACTCTGCCATTATAATACAGCTATCCATTCATTTCTTTCATCCATTCTTTGCTCTATTTGATGATGCAACAGTCTTGAATTATGTTTAAAAACTCATAGATATACGGTATAGTATTCAATAATTTCAAACTTAGCATAAATTAAAATTACAACTATACAAACATCGGATCGTAAAAAATCTATCAGAAAGAACCTCTCATTTTCCTAAAAAACCATGGGTGATAAGATGATAAATTAGAAATATTTGGGTAGAACGACCATATCGTGCATCCATGCATTTCTTTTATCCATTCTTTACTCCATTTGATGATGCAACAATCTTCAATTATATTTTTAAAAATCACATCTACATCGCATAATATTCAATGAAAATATTCATTAAAATTACGCATCGCATAATTTTAATCTATAATAATTGGATCTAAGAATAAGAAGATATTAGAAAGGAGGATCTTCATCGTCTTACTTTTCCAAAGAAACATGGAAGATCGGAATAATAAATCAACAACATTTGGGGAAGTACTCATTGATAAAATAATAAATTTAATATTTTTATGTTGCTGTGGATCATACAAATAGTTAAATATGATGGATGATACTATTGAATCAACACTCACCTATCCGTTTCAAAGGATATTTAAGCTCTGCAACACTCAATTAGTTAACGAAATAACGAAACAAAATTTATCATCATTCGTTAACTTTAATTGAAAACCATAGTTTCGAGTATATTCAAACGTAGCATCATGATAGAACCTTTTTTAGAAAGAACAAGAACTTAATAACTAGTTTGAATTATAAATACTTAATCCGAATCCTTTTTCGTTTTTTATATTTCACTTCGCCAGTAGGCATTGTCTGGCATAAATGATACGCTCTACGTATCTTCTTTACAGGTGACATCAAAACAAACAATATGGCATTATAAACCAGGCTACTGTACTGCGAAGTAGGCGAGGGTCGTTACAAATACAGGTTCATCCCTGTTTCTTTTTTTGCTTAAATTTAGGCTCATCGATTCGCGTGATAAAAACCACTCTTTCGAACGTGTAATCTCACTTTGTCCGTGGCAAATAAAAAAATCGAATACAATCTTCAAAAAATAACAATAAATCGGAAACTCGGTTCATATGGATCCTATAAAATTTATTGGAAGAAAGCAAAACAAAGAAATAGAAGTATGTTTTAAATCTACGCCCCGAATCGATTGTTTCTTAAGCCCATCTTTTTTTGATTTAGTTAAAAGATTTAGAAATTCCAATTTTCTTCCAAATATATATATATATATATATATAAGTAACAATTTAGTCGAAAGACTTCATAAAGGATTCGTGTTTTTAGATATCCGTGCCAAGAAATAAAAATTAATGCAAGAAACTCACGAGGGAGGAAGAAAGTGAACGAGTTTTGTAGTTCAAGTCACGTGCCGTGAGAATATGCAAATTAATTTTTTAAAAGAAACGAATAATTATTCCGACTTTCTACCTTTAGACATTTATATATAACGCATCGCAACAACCGGAGTATGGTTTGAAAAAACGTTCACGTTTCGTAAGCCAACGTACTGTACATTTTACACAATTAAACCCGATTTCGGACATAGAAAATTAGTTAATGCAGAACTTTAGGAGTTACGTATCAATAAAGCGATAATTAATGATATTAACTTAGCATAACTTGTAGTTAATTTAAGCGTATAGACCGTGTGCAGCGGAGCAGGATCTCGGCAAAAGGTAAGAATCGGTGCCATTCCGTACCATCGCGATGTCTGGCTCGGAGCTACAGGTGACCTTCACAGGTGCGTAGAGGGCACGAAGGCTAGCAAAGCGGGAAAAGTTACTGGGCGATAAAAAAAAGATCCTGTCATTACGTGTACAGGGTGAAAGACACTGGCTTGTTATGCATCGTCGGCCGGATATAACAAAAGATAACTTCTCCCCCGCTCTTCGTTCCATACTTTCGCTAATTGTAAATAATTCCAATTTTCTCATAAATACGCTACAATATTGATTAAAAAAGACGCGAAATTTTTCTAAAAGAAAATAAAAATGACGTAAAAGATTTCGAAACATTTCTTTTTATATTTTGTTTTTTCTAATACGTAATATTTATCAATGGACTTTGACCTTATTTATATATAAAAGTTTAATTCTTTATTTATCGGTTGATATATTTTTGTCGTGTTTACATAAGAATATTTTATTTTTATTAATAATAATAAAATTATATAAATATTATATACGACAGTTACATTATTATTATTATTTTAATTATTGTTTCGGGCGACGATAATCTCATTTCGATTTATAGCACATAATTCGCCCAACTGGTTAAAAGAAACGTTCGCCCTTACGGCACAAGAATCAGGTCAGTTTAGCGGTTGTCTTGGTAACGAGGATAATCGTTTGGTCTTCGCCGCGCAAAACGAGGTCAAATTCGCCAAAAGTTGGTCTTGGAAAAAAACAAGAAAAATAATAATGCTTTAATATTTTGCACATTTCCATTCCATTCTAACCTTCGATATTCAGGATGTTTAAGATTAAGGTAATGCGGATGAAGTATTATTATTTCTTTTTAATCTATAGATATGCTGCGTCAATCCAGTCGCCATATTGATTTTAATTCTCTCGATGCGCTTCTTTCCTTTTAAGGCATTCACACATATCAACTTGTACGGTATATGGCATCATATAACATAATAATTAATATATGAAACGGAATTGAGGTTTAGTTCTTTTGTTTCTTTTAAAAGATTGACTAATATAATAAGTATTGATATATTCAAGTTTTTAATATGGAGGAAATTTGAAATTCTTTCCTCTATAAATATTTTGATGTTTAGATGAAAGAGGAATGGTAATATTAAATCATAGAAGCCGTATACAGTGACATTTTCAGGGTTTCTGATTAAAAACAACTATCGCCGATATTTTAAAAAATCTTGTATGTAGGCCCGTATAAAATGTGTGCGTACAGGTATATATACATTTTCCATATACTGATACATAAACAAAGGTATATATATATATACGTACACGTTCTGTACATGGCGTAATTATATTCATTTATACACACGCATATATACATTATAAATATAATACGAATGTCTAAAGATTTCGATTTAGCTTTAAATAGATTCATTTATTCAGTTTTTTGATTAAAAAGCGATTACTTTTAATGGGAATTTAGAAAGAGGTCGAGGTCTATTGCGAATTCTTAAAAGCAAAAAAGCGGGTTTAAAGTATTTTTCTATCATAACTTACAGAGGGCGTTGTAAAATGTACTGCATCCTCTTGTGTAGCACGTAAATGATCGGACAGCGACCTTGAAATGTCCTGGATGGATGGTTGGAAGAGAGCCAAAAGAGACAATTCTGCATTATCCTTGAAAGCGGGCGGCCCGATAACAGATGCTGCCGCAACCAACAACTACGAAGTTTATCCCCAGTTAAATTCTGACATCATAATGACATATTATATCGAATATCAAAATAACTCGCTTAAAACCGAGATAGCTTAAATAGCTGCTGGATGACAATCGAATTTAACTTGGTTTTTTTATACAAAGTATGCTGAAAAAATATACGAAAGAGATCTATTTCAATTTCGACTCGAGTGTTGGTTTTTTTCCTTTTTTCTTTTTGCCTCCAGTCAAGAGTTTCGGATGGGTTGATCTCTTCCAAGATCTCGGGCATACCGATCGA